GAAGAACCTAGGTACTTAAATTGTGCACGCGTTTCGACCATGGACGTACCGTATAGTGCGGTCACTAGTGAGGGATGCACGTCAAATACCCCGGGTTAGCAGTTGTACCGCTAAATTTTCTCGTTTGTAAAAATATCGCCATACTATGGCAGACTAAACTCAAGATTCTTATCATCTAACGACTTATTTGTTCTGCATGCTGACACCGTGCTCCTTACGGAACATTCGCCAGTTTCTCAAAACAGCCCCCCCCCCCCCCCTTTTTTTTTGGTGTGTGTGTGTGACTATCTTTAACGGTAAGGTCCACATTTATACAGAGGGCGTACTTTTTCTGGAGGTCCACAAACAAATTACTTTTTTAATAAAATTTGCGTTAGAAAACAATAAACTTGAATAAAAGTTCTCTTCTGGCCCTGGGGCCGAGTTGTTGGGCGCGGCAGACACCAGAAAAAAAGTTTTAAACTTTTATATATTTATCTCGGAGGGCATTATGCGGTCGGAGACTTGACGCTCGACCTTAGTTCGGTCTAGCTCTTGTACACGGTTTCCAACCGAAACTGAGCGCGCAAAGAGCGCCAGTGACGTGAAGTTTTGTGCCGTCTTTTGAAGGTGCCCGCGCCGCAGGTCACGTCAGCAGTGCGACGCCACCGGCGCTCTCGCGGAATGACAAGGAGCACGTATCCCCTCGGATCTAAAGAAAGGCACTGTAGCACCGAGCCCCCGCCGCAGTTGCGACTCGCTCACCTGTGCGGACGCAGTTTGGCGGCACATGTTCGGAACAGTGGGCGCGCGGCTTTCGAAACAGCGTTAGGAACACGCCCCGGGTTCACTTGCGGATTCCCGACGGTTACTTAACGCGCGTTCCGTGCAGTCTTCACCGAGACTCCGCGATCCGAGCCACGGGTTCCCGCGTCCGCGCTCACTCCCGCGCTCGACGCATTCCCAACCACCGTGTCTGCCGAGAATGAGCCCCTGACGCAAGCCGAGGTCCGCGAAATCCTGGGACACCGACGGCCCGGGTCCCTGGTTCGCTTCCACGAAGAGTGTCACGCAACATTAGACTACAGAATTCGCACTGGGAAAGAGGAAGCAGTATCTGCAAGTCGCGTCCAATGCTGGCACGTCAGAACGCTGGTCGGCGCAACGATAAATGAGTAACGTACAGAGACATTTTCACTTTCTGTTTTGCTTTTGTTTAGACATCTTTCTTTCTTTTAAAAATTCACGTTAATTTGGAACGAGTGGCGTGCATGGGCCCACGCCAAGCGGCGGCAAATATTTGGCACACTTGCCACGTAACATAGCAGCGCGACGACCGCGCTGGCAAGCAGTGAAATTGGGTTAAACACACGTCCAAAAATATTTCAACTCTGGTCAGGGACAAGTTAAGAGTCCAGGGAAATCTCCTTCTACCTCCTTACTTCAGCAGAGGGAACGCTGGAAGGGAGGTCGCCTCCTCTACAGCCTTGGCTCTGCTAAAGTGGAAAGTGGTGGGAGCAACTACCCTGTCCGATTCACCAACTCGAGGAGACGAAGAGGAGAGGGAATGAGAATTGTGACGTCACATGTCTCGTCGGCCGTGTTCAATCGCGCACCTCTTTTCCAAAAATACGGCCATCCGTCAGAGATAGTATCGCTGTATGAGTGATGTTTTTGGGTTTTACGGCTCCTATCGCTCCAGCCTTGTTTTGTGAGCTCCAAATTTCGGTTCAGTATCCCATAAAGGGGCACTGAACCACGTTCTGCGATAGTCTATTGGCTTCAAGCATCCTAACAACCAAACATTACATTCGTGCGTGGCCATTTTCTCTATTCAAATCGGTGTCAAAGATCGATAACCTCACTACTATCGCATTCACCAGAGGGCGCCGTCGGACGAGGAGACGTTTCCTTTGCTAAGGAATTTCCCATGCAGAGTATTAGCAATTACGTTACTTTTAATCTGTCGGAGATAAGCTTAAGATGAAAATTCTCGGAGTTTTTTTATTTGCAGTCGAGGTAAGGGTTGGTGTGTTGTGGTCAAAGACGCAACCGGTTAAATATAAGGGGAACAAAAATATCGCTATGTGGAGGGAACTTGTCGAAGGTGTTTGTATCACACGGCTCGGCACTTGATTCCCTACATGGAAACGCTTCAGTTTCCCGGGACATAACTGGTGCATTATAGTGCATGGACATCAAGAGAAAAACAGACGCAAGCAAGCAATTAGCAGATCATATCTGACTGGTGAATAAGGTTGAGGGGAGGCTGAATAATTATCCCACGCTCCCCACGGCAAGAGCCGAGAGATGGCCGGGAGATGTATTGCCGTAGCTAGTCGCTAACAGAATGACCTCCTGCTCCTCCTCCACCCCCCCCCCCCCAAAAAAAAAAAAAAAGAGAAAAGAAAACAGCAAGTTAGACGCAGTTATTGGAAAGTAGATTCTTTTGGGGTGCGGTTTCGTATGTCCATTTATGGGGAAAAAAGGTTCTCGGCAGAATACGCTTGTAAGGCATTTATAATTTTTAAATGCGAGAAAATTTAGGGATGGAAACGTGCACCGTGTATTTAGAATCCGAATCTACGGACGACATTTAAATCCTGCACATTATTTTTTTTTAATTTTTCACGAAGAGAAAAAATAATGCGAGTTTTCACTGGCTCAATAAACTACATTTCAGAAGAGCACGCCATTTATAGTTGCTGCTACACTAATTATCCAAGTCGGCCCTAATCGCGGCGAGAAGTTTGGATATCGCCGCCTGGTGGAATTTTTTTTCACAGCCCAGAGTGTAGGTACTTCAACTTTCTCTGCTGGTGCAAGCAGGTGCAATGCCAAGCTTTTATGCGCAATGCAATTAAAACATAACCGCTCGGGTAGCACGTTTACTACCCATATTGAGGAAAACAGAGGAGCCCCTAGCGAGCTTCTCTGCGCGAATAGTGTCATTGCGTGCTCTGAGCACGTATTAGACACGAGGGCTAAACGAGCCGTGAGCTCGGCTCGCTTCCGTGGTCGGCGAAGACTCCGATTCAATTCGCACGCCTCGTGCCCGTGGAATGGTGACCAGCAATGTTGCATAACGGGGATTAAAGGAAAAAAAAAAAAGAGTATATTTTCAGATTTACCGAGGCTCCCCATAAATAGTCTAGGTAAGTTCTAACGAGGGTCCCTCCTTGCCCGCGCGACACCCGAAAACCATTCGAGCTCGATCGACGCGCCTCCATCCTTGGAGCGCGTGATCCTTGGGTCGCACCGCGTGGAGCTGGGGCTCTTTTTATTTCAGTCGGACCTGTATTGTTCTCGCGCTGCTCCTTGGCACCCCTCGTGAAGCACGAAGCGAGGCCCGCCCGTCCTCTCGCTCCGTCCTTCGCGCGTGGCTCCCCCAGGCCGTCTAGGCTGTATCAGCCGAGAAGCTTCCAATATTAGCCCGGACCGCCCGGAAGCTGTCGTGTCGGATCAAAGCACTACACGGACCGGATTCGAGTCGACAACAGCTGGGCATCCCGCCGAACCGCCCGCCGAACCGCCCACGTACCCGCTCTCGCCGACGAATGACGGAAGATACTTCGCCCAGTCGCTCGTCTCCCCGATTCCTCGCGAGATTTTCAATGACCAACGGGGAGGTCGAAAACTTTGTGTCCAACTGCAACCTGAGGTTCAACTGACTGGTTCGCCGAACCCTCAATTTCACGTTCCTTTCTGTAAAAGCGCCGAAAGCAGGTGCTGTTGCAGTTTGCGTCCCCGCGAACTTCCGGTCCAATGAAAGGAGAAACAATACCCAACGGAACCGCTTCCTGCGACGTTCATGAAATATTGTATACGGTTCCCCAAGCGGTCTAGGATCGGTAACGTACTCGTTCACAACTCACACAACTTCCATGGCGATACCAGACCACGGCCATTGTCGTTGGTACTTATTAGGGCTGCAGAGTTACGGAGACGGTCATCTTAGACCAGTGTACGCAGCACTGCTAACATTGCTCCGGGACTTCGCTCTTTCTAACGGCTTCGTTTGCTCGTATGACAAAATTAGTGGTAAAAACGTCGGTGCAACCAAGGGGTTCTGCGTGTTTGGCCTGGGAGACTGACAGTCGGCATTCGCTGCCGCTTTAATTTAAACACCGCGTGCGACGTGCCCGAAAAACGAAATCGAAGGGAGAAGAGGGGAGCGCGGAACTCTTTCTCCCGTCTGCCTGTAGGAAAAAAAAAAAAAAAAAGTATCGTTTTTCTTTTCATTTCGTGTCCGCTTGGAAGCGCGTCAGCAGAAGGAAGGAAATCACGCCGTCGCTACCTTTTTTTTTAGGGTGTGATGGATAGTTAACGAGGATCGAAGTCTCACGCGGAATGTCGTCCCCCGTTACTTTGAACGGGGAGACGTTAGTACAATAAAAAAGAAAACGACGTTTTCAAATTTTACAGCAATTACGTCACGGGACAAAATTAACGTTTCCAGTTATTTCAACCATGGATGTCGAAGGAGCCGCCACCCATTTAGGATTTCGCCGAAATCGACTAGTCGCTGGCCGAAAATCTGCATCAGTCCGGGACTCATATCCAGATTTTCTGCCAGCGACCAGTCGAGTTCGCCACCCGGCTCCAAAAGCCACATTCCGCCTGCGCGGACTCGCCCGCGAATCCGCAAGTGTAAACGCGACATCAACCCTGGGTTCACAACCCGCATAGCGTGCTATGCTTTGCGCGCCTTCACCCGGCGACCTGCGTTTGGTCTTAGATTCAGTCAAATAAGCTTTATTTTCCCTCGACGCAATGACAGTGTAAACAGACAGTAAGCACACCGCACCACGGAGTTTCCCAAGAAGCTGTCGCGCTCTTTCATCTGTCCGTAAAGGGTGTTGTGAGTTGTGACACGAGATTGTTGTGACACGGAGTCAACATACGCCTACAACGGTACAGGAGAAAGAAAAGGAAATTCGCTTACTAACTCCGTTTTTTTTTGTTGTTTTTTTTTCTTTTTTTTTTAAAGGCAGTTGAGGAAGGTTTTGCGGGGTGCCTACCTCGTTTCTGGTGGGCCCACGTGGAGTCAGAGTCGATGGTGGTAGACCCTGGCGGGGGCTCGCTCGGCGCTCGATCTGAAAGAAGCAGAGTAGGAACAACTTTCAACAGGGGGTATAAAACTGCAACAAAGTATACGCTACACGTCAAACATTAAAAACAAACATGTTTTTGAAGAAACGTTTAGCTATTACTGTTGTTCAACGAAATTTACGGATGGTGCTACTCGCTCTGCGCACTCCAATCTTAAAGGGATACTTCAACGAAATTTGAAACATACCCGTTGCGCTCATAAATAGGTTGAATGTGATCTACAATATCCGAAAATGACAATCGCACGTTTGTATTTTGAGCCTGGTGGCTGTATATTTCGTTATAAACGGCCCACTCTGGTAAAAGCTCGGAGAACAACCAGCGGAGAGCATGTGACACCCAACGCCATCGCAACGGAGTTCGTCTCGGGACGAGCAAAGGTATGGCGAGGCTGACGTCGAAAGGATGGCCTAGTCCAGGGGTCTCAAACACGCGGCCCGCGAGCCACATGCGGCCCGCGACTCACTGGGATGCGGCCCGCAAGCCTTCCGCGGATTCGAGCCTCAATTCCCATGCCTCGAGCGCCATTAATAATAGTTTTATATTGTCGATTCAATTTCGATCGAAACAGATCTCTGCTCATGTAACATGTTCACACATTTTGTACTATTCTGTTTTGATTTGGACGGAGTACTACTTCGTCTAAATATTTGCTTCTCAGCCTTTCCTATGTAAATCAACCGGAACGGCACTACCATTACTAGGCCACAAGTGCTAGCTCTTTGCTCAGGGAGGCACCTCGGCTGTACGAACTGTTGCTTAGCAGGAGCAACAGCAGAAGATAAAGCCATGAGCTTGGGCTTCTAGCTGACAGAAAAAAAAAAAACATTTAAAATGCAAGTATTTTTTCTCTTTTAAAAAGAAACTGCCATATGAAGATTTTTTTTTTATGATGTTGAGCTTAGTGAACTGTGCGACGGCTCAAGGAAGGTGTGCTTGTTCTCGATATACAAAAACTGCTAGTATGCTCGCGTTTTAAACCTTGTTATTACAACAGGAGTGGACCCAAAGTAGTCGTATATGCAAATAAAAGCTGAAGATGGCAAAACGGTGAGCTTACAAAAAGCAGGAAACACAAGGTTCCTTCTCCAGAAAATCTCTGGGGTGTTACTGGGACAGTCAACGTTTGCAGCGTGAAACAACACGGCTGATTGTTTATATTTTTGTCCCAAAATAGCAAAACATTGACTCCAAATGACGAGGGCCAACTCAGATTTTGGGGGGGGGGGGGGGGGGGGGGGGGGGGGGGGGGGGCTCTCTCTGTTGGCTTTCGCCCTTTCGGGGTCGAGTTTGAGACCCCTGGCCTAGTGGTTCCAGCCACCGAAGCGGCTGCTTTTGTACGAATTTTGAGTGACGGTTTAATCTTCTATAATCTTGAAGGGGGACAATAGCGACTTCTGGGACACAGGAAAGGTATTCTCGGGAAAAGAGGAGGTCCTCCTTCCCCTCTTCTCTCGTCGTGGCCGGAGGCGAGACAGTTATCGTCACTACCTCTCAAGGTTCCTAGACGAGCATTACAAACGAGGCGTTAGCGACATCCACCAGGTGCTCTTTGCTAATCGTTTAATTCGTTTTAGAAATCTTTTTCGTGACTTTTTTTAACAAGATATTGGTGTGTTCGGCGTGATACTGCTCCTCTGAACACATATAGACCAAAAAATTAGCGCCGAAATTTTATTGTAGTGTCCCTTTAAAGGTGCCCTGCAATCCTATTCAAACGTCTACTTTTTTTTTTTTTTTTTTTGGGGTCCGGACAAGCCAGCGGGGCACGGAGAGAGTAACTAAATTTCAGGGCATCAAAATTTAACCGGACGACGCGGAAGCCTCCTCCACCTATGGGGGCGCCCCGTGGTACCGAACGCGCGCGTAGTGATGCAAAACTATCGATAAATTGACTATCGATACTATCGATAGTGTCCCAGAACTATCGATAGTCGACTATCGATAGTTTTCGATAGTCGACCATCGATAGTTTTTCGATAGTCAACTATCGATGGTTTTTTACTATACTGGCGACTAACGATACTATCGCTAGTGCTATCGATAGTCTTGCACCACTATAGTCCGTTACAACTCAAGAAGGTAGGGCGAGGGTAAGATGGGCCGGGGAGGGGGAAGCAGACGGAACGCTAAAGAGAGAAGGAGGTTTCCCCATCTCTTCTCCAGCGTTCCGTCTGCTTCCTCCTCGCCGGCCCGTCTTACCCTCGCCCTACCGCTCGCCTCCCCTTTTCCTCTCCTCCTCTCCTCGCCCAAACTCCCGTCTTCGTCATCACCGAAAGCTGAACGAAAGTTGGGATGGTAAGTGCCTGGCCTAGTAGATGTCCCATTTGAAAAAAAAAAAAAATAATAATAATAATAAAGCGATAAAAAGAGAAGAGGGAGCGACGCAAACTACTGGTGTCGCAAAACTATCGATAGTAAATCGTCGACAGTACCATCGATAGGCTTACGATAGTCGACTATCGATAGTTTTCTGATAGTCGACTATCGGTAGTTTTTCGATAGTCGACTAACAGTACTATCGATAGTTTTTCGATAGTCGACTATCGATAGTACTATCGATAGTACTATCGATAGTTTTTCCATAGTCGACTATCGATAGTACTATCGATAGTTTTGCACCACTACGCGCGCGGCATGTGACGACATTGTGACGTTGTCGATTTTGGCCAACTCCTGCCTTACGACTGGTCAGAGCCGCTAAAAGCTTATTTTTAGTCGAAATACAAAATATAAGTGGCGCGAACCATTTGAATTATTTATAAAAGTGGTTTTTGTTCAGTATTTTAGATCAGAAAGAAACAAACGCAGTTTATAAAGTACGGAAACAAAAAATGACCCGGCGACATACCCGCCACCAAGCGGTGCAAAAGGTGGCGCATACTAGAAACGGGTAGTAAGACCATGCAGGCGCCAACGCGCGCCACGCATTGCTGTGAAGCGGCGAGCGTAGAATGGTTCCGGATGTACGTGGCGGCCGAGCGTTCCGAAGGCCTTCGGCGAGCAGCTAGGCTTGCGGTTTGGCCGTTTGGCGGTTTGGTAGCGCGAAGTGGCTCCTGTACTGACCTGATCTTTACACCGTGCTTGCTGTCGCTTGTGGCCAATGAAGTGTTATGCCGAATTAGTGTTTAATCGCGCAGCAAATGCATTGCGAGCCGCCCTGGCCGCCCGCTTCATACCGCCTATCCAACAGATGTTTTGGAGGCGCCCTCTCGAGCCCTCGACACGGAGTGCGGCAGCCGTGAGCGCTCGATGAGCTCACTACCCCTCCTCTAGTTCACGGCCACTCAAGTCGCGACCAAGGACGTCATGAAGGGGGTTATTTTTTGCTTGTTTTTTGTCATTTTAATTTGCCTATACCTTTTAAAATAAAGCGATATTCGAGAAAAGTTGCATCAAGTTACTACGTTCAGTGCGCTCAGGTTCGGTGCAAATTAAAAACCAGTAAAATAAGTCATTACAAAGCCCATTAACAAAAAAAAATAACAGTTGCGTGTTAAAAAATAAAATTTTACACACCCCCACAAAAAAAAAAAAAACATTTAGAGCAATATTGACGGCACAAAACGCGATTTAGTTGGGAGTCACCTTTCCACTTGTTTTCTCTCACGGCATTTCGGGCGCGTGGATAAGAGGTGGAGCAGCTTCGCTTTCAAGGCCGAGATGGTCATTCCGGAATGACCACTGACGTCATGGACTTCGCGCGCAGAACTTTAAATAAATCTCTCGCCGTTAATATTGCTCTATTTTTTTTTTTTTTCGCGTATAATTTATTTCCTTCACACGCGTGTCTTAACCATCTGTTTTAAAAATAAATCTTTCCAGGGTCCCTTCAAGGGGCCCTGCAACAACTTTCTGACGTTTCTTTTTTTTTTTTTTTCATTTGCATTGGACCAGAGCGCACTGAACGTAGTATAACTTAATGAAACTTTTCTCCAATATCGCTTTATTTCAAAAGTTATAGGTAAATTAATCACAAAAACAAGCAAAAAATAACCCCCTTCATGACGTCGTTGGCCGTGGCTTGAGTGGCCGTGAACTAGAGGGGGGGGGGGGGGGGGGGGGGGGGGGGGGGGTAGTGAGCTCAGCGAGCGCTCAGGGCTGCCGCACTCCGTGTCGACGGCTCCAGAGTCCAGAGGGCGCCACTAAACCATCTGTTGGACAGGCTGCATGAAGAGGGCGGCCAGGAAGCTGAACATTGCATTCGCTGAGGTCGAAAGCGACGTTTCAAACCCGTCGTTTCCCGCGAAAAGCAGCAAAAAAAAAAAATAACTGTCTGGATTAGCCAAAAAAAAAAAAGATATTGAAACAAAATTTAAAAAAAAAACGGGAGGGGGAAGCAAAGGCATGAGCCAAGACCACATAGAATAATGAAAGCCTCCGCATCGCCTCCTCTCCCTTTGTGAAACGTCATCAGTCGGATCTATGTAACTCGGCTACCGGGCCCGAGTCCGACCTTCGACGCGTTGACTAAACACGAGCCCCGGGCCGAACACTGACGCAGCACTCTGCGTCAGTGTTCGGCGAGTGCATGGGGTTGCATGAGCTCGATCCTCACCTTGCTGTGTATAGGACTCTTGCGGAAACCGGCTGTAAGGAGGCGGCGGGGATTCTGAAAAGACAAAGGAAACACCGTCAATGTCTCTTCATATGGAAAAAAGAAAAAAAAAGAGGTGACAAGGAACACAGGCCAAGTATGGCCTGTCTGTGTTCCGCGTCAAGCATACCAAGTTCACTAACTCGGAACCTCAGTAACATTATGAATGTACACATATTTGCCCAACCGATAAGCGGCCCACAAGTGTATTGATAGTTGTCTTTGCATTCGATAACTGTCCCCTCTTCTTCCCCGCTCATCCTGTGCCCGAACCACACGCCAGAATTTCACAACTCTCTTGTCTCATTCAAAAGTTACAAGTGATTTTCTGGAAATTTTAATGGGAAAATTGGGTCCGTTTCTAGTTTGCACCCGTTTTCGGTGACTCGCAACCATTCAGCTCCATGTATTCGAGAACTCCGTTGGCCGCCGTTTTTCCCACTAAAAATTAAAAAAAAAAAAAAAAAACTTGAATAAGAGAACGGTTAGTCCTGCAAGTCTAACTGGCATCTGGTTCTCACCGCTAGCGCTACATTTGGGGAGAGAATGAGCGTACCGCGGTGCGTAGTTTACTTTTGTGGTGAAAAAAAAAAAACCCGTAAATTGTGTTTGGGACACTCTGTAGATGCGCGTTCACCAAGCTACCATTATTGCCGTGTTCCGCTCTACGACACTCCAAATTGCAACTGTCCTGTATCTTATCTCACAGATACACCGAGCATACAGACGTTTAGAGAGCGGGAAGTTCGTCGACTGCCTTCGAATGGCGTCTGACGTCTCCTACTCAATACGCAATTTGCCCAGAAGAGGCCTGGGATCTTTAAAGGGATACTGAACCGAAATTTCGAACTCACAAAACAAGGCTGGACAGATAGGCGGGACGATGCAAAACCCAAAAACATCACTCATACAGCGATATCTCTAACGGATCGCCATATTTTTAGAAAAGAAGCGCCCGACTGAACCCGGCCGACGAGGCCGACAAGGCAAGGGACGTCACGATTCTTATTCCCCTCCTCATCACTACGTCCCGTCTCGAGCTGGTGAACCGAAGCGAGGAGGAGAGAAGCGAGGCCGCTCCCCCTCATTCTCAAATTCTCCCGGAGGACAGTGATGTCAGAGGCCTCGCTTGATCGTGCCCTTCTTTTCGAAAAGTGCAGCCATCTGTTTGAGATATCGATGTACGAGCAATGTTTCGGAGTTCGTAGAGTCCCGTTCAACGCTTCTAGAGCCTTATTTTGCGAAATTCAAATTTCGGTTCAGTATCCCTTTAACGTTGCCTATTCGGATCAGCTTGTGAAGTAAGTCAACAGCCAATTTCGGCAGTCTGGTTGGCGAGTTCTCATGTGGATCACGTTGCCTGGTTACGGGGTATCCACACGAAGGAGAAATCCGCCCCTTCCCTCCGCGGAGCGCGCATCACGTGAGACATACGTCATCCCTTTCTGACGCCTCGCGGCGCGTTCTCCTCCGTGGCGGAGGCGCGGAGGCTTCGTTCTGTCAGCACGAAAGCTCCGCAGGTGCACGCGGCGGAGCCGGGGACGGAGTTTCCCGGGTTGTTGACGTCACGACATCCGTCCGCGGAGTTCTCCTTCGTGTGGATACCCCTTTAACGGGGCGGGGGAGGCTACGGTAAACACGTCTTAATAATTCCCGCGCTAGGTTTTACTCAGCAGATTTGCTTACGCATATCGGGTAAGTAAATCTGGGAGCCGGCTAAACGCTACTACTTGAATCACTGTGGTACGTTGACCTAGACCTCGCCCCCTCTCTCCTTTACCCTCCCCCTAAACACACTCCTGTCTCTCTCTCCGTAAACCAGACCCATTGTGACGTACATGAAAACGCCCCGATCAGAGTGCCGAAATAGTCCTCTGACTTTACAAGCTTTTCCGAATACACATCCGGGTTCTGAAGTCAACCAAGTCGTGTGTACACTTCCAGACGGAAAACACAACACAAGCCCAGACCAGACTGCCACTCCGCGGACGGGAGAAGACGAGCCCCTCCCTCGCTAAACCTGCAACCGCGCAACGAACAACGCGAATCAGACGGAACAAAAACACAACAGACGAAGTGATCTCGGTGCCCAGGAGGACGGCGGCTACCGCGATAACCAGAACTATCCCAGCCACTCGAAGAAGCGAGGGAGGGAGGGACGGAAGCGCTTGGGCGCCAGCCACGCCCTGGTCGGCACCTCGGTCCACTCATAACCACCACCTAGAAGACAAGGCCGGAGCGTGACGTCATCGTTAGTGGATCCACCCCAAGCGGCAAACACGCCGGAGCTCAATGCGAGACGCCGCAAAGTCTTGGCGTTGCGCTCCACGTGAGACGCTATCGCCGCCATTCGCTTTCCATATTTATCGTAAGCTCGGTGTGGGGGAGGGAGGACGGACAAGCGGCAGCACACAGGGGGCAACGGCGGCAGCTCCATTCAGCCGATAAGGGCGCTCCATTCAGCCGATAAGGGCGCCCCATTGAGGGCTGGATGTACCGCTATCAGCCACGGTGAGAGGCTTTTTCGAGCCCGGTCGAGCGCCCGTCCGTCCCGAAGCGAGGGGCAGAGCGGGGAGCACACAACCCGGGGGCGCCTTCGCTTATCTGCCGCGTGGCGGGGAGAGGGGGGGGGGCCCCCGAAAAGGCATTGTTTTTCCGGTCGTCCTTGTCCAGCGGGAAGGAGAGAGGAGCCGCCGTCTTATCGCCCCCGCATATTCCGAGCTGGGTTCCCACGGGGCTCAGGAGGCGGTCGGCCAACGGCCGGCTGCGACGGCCAGCGCCTCGGAAGGGCTCGCGCGCCGTCATAGAAGACGAGAAGCAAGAACGAAGGCCAGAGCGCCTCGAGGCGGGCGCGTGCAACAAAACCGCCACCTTGTTTCTGATACGCGGCCCTTTTATTAAACGAAGGGCGCGTTTCACACGGTGGAACTTTAAAAGGCCTGTTCACACATGTAGCGGAGCGCTACAGGCGTAGCGCTGACCTCGCGCTAAGCGCGTGCTGACGGGAGCGTTCAGTAGCTTTATGTTGCACCGTCAATACTGTTGTTCATGGCAGACAATAAGTAGCAGACCACAACTTAGAAGCGCTACATTAGCGCTTCGCTGCATGTGTGAACCGGCCTTAAGGAAAACCTGCCCGAAGGAAAACAACGCGAAATAAATAAATAATAGCAGAGCCAAACGGCCACAGTCACAATCCGTATGATGGTGGTGCCTCTTCGCCGTACTTATGAAAAGGACAACCCGCCTTTATTCAACCCTCGACTTATGTCACCAATCCGATAGCCCGTGCATGATCATCCGCGCTTTCCCAACGTCTACTCTTCCGTCGCCGCTTCTGAAGTACAACGGCTTTACTAGATTGAAACTTTACGGATTGCTTTTATCAGATTTGGTTGGCGTGGTAGGAAAGAGTGTTCACGCATGTGTGCTGGCTGGTCTGCCTCGATTAAAGGGATTCTCCGGTCGAAACCGGAAGTACTTTCAGTTTTTGCACTCGTTACGTCGAGGGAGCCTTCATGCAGACAAACGTCATTTTTATTTTCATATATGGTCTCCCATTATTAAATAAACCTTTCATGAGCGTATGTACGAAACTGCACCCCAAATTTCGACAGTGTCAATGGCTGACATCCGTAGCTGCTGCGTGACGTCATAAAACGCAAAGGTTTGTCGGATAGTCGGGTTATCGAGCGTTGGTCGATGGATGTCTCGTATTTTGTTTCGAATTATATAGTCTCCTAGGCTGTACGCTACTGAAATACGATTCTTTTAATGCAATTTCCAAGCGTGTGCAAAAAAAGAGTCACGCCTTTTAGCAGGATATTACTCGAAAACAGCTATAAGCTTCCAGCAAACGTGTCGAACTATAGAGCGCTTGCAAAGCAAAGGATGAAGATTTCGCCTCTGAAGCGGTACACGAAGCGGCATCTGGGTACACACTTCGGCGGATCCACCGGATCGGTGATGAGGCTGCGGGCCCTTCCCTCAGAGGCGCTGTCCGTGGGTCGAAGGCAAACGGCGAATTGTTCAAATGCATGTCGTCACTTGACTTGGACGAGCTTGGTGAATCGTAGCCACGCTCTATTTTCACATGCGAGCCAAATTTGGCTGCACGCGTGCTAAATACAACTTCTGGTATAGTTTCCAAGTGGTCTAGCTGTTGGTTTCGGTTTCGCCGCATAATCAAATTGATTGATCCGATTTGGGCGAGGAGTGGATAGACGTAGTTTAATACCGTTGGCACATCATCACACCTCAGCTTATGAGCCTTCTGTCCGCTTAGAGCTCAGCTCGTAGCTCTCTTCTGTGAGATGATTGCTGCATAAGCGGGATCTCGATCTAGACGGGAACCCAGTCCCTACGCGCGGCGACGATCTATTTTGCTCGTCACTGCACGTCTCGCAGAGAAGTGTGGAACGTCATGTCTTGGGTCGCAAGGGCTGCCCGGTGGTTGAGGCACCCAACCGCGCAACAAAAATCTCACCCAACCACGGAACAAGTCGAGCACAACAACAAAACGAAGTACGCTGACTGAGCCTTTGCACTCGCAGGTAAACGACGAGACAGAAATGCTCGCTTTGTGTTGTGTGACGTCAGAGCTACAATGTTGCCACCGAAAGCAGCGTTTCCGCTAGAGTGCGATTGGAGAAGTATTAAATCAATTACTCATGCAGAAAGCAATATTAAATTCAGATATTGCACGTACGATGGGTCTCGAGGCAATAGCAATGATATTCAATTGTTTTCTCGAATGCAAAATTTGACCTGACAATCCCTTTAAATCAGTTGAAAGTTAGCGCCAGTCCGTGTTGTAGGTGTCTCTTCTTCGTCCCTGTATTTTTTTGCGCTTTTGAGTCCTCTAGACTTTCCTAGATCAGTATCACATTGGGCAACTGGAGAAAACCCTCTACCATCAGTATTAAAGCGGTCTCCTTTTCCTCCCCACATGCTCCAAACAATGTATTCACGTCCTGATATTCCGCTCCTAGTTTCGCCTTAAACAACGAGCTTCC